TTCTGGTTGAGCTCCCTGGGCTGGGGGTAGGGTTCAGGATATACATGAAGAAATTTAACACAGAATAGGGAGGAAGAAACAAGCCGCCCCAAGCATCCTCCTGCCACATGCCACAGCCATGAGACAGAAGAATGCATTTATTCTTAGAGTTTACAAGACCTATGGTATTAGGATGCTTTCTACATTTTAAGGATTCTTTTTCTTGCATTTAAAAAAATATTTTGAGAAAGAGCAAGCAGGGAGAGGAGGGGAAGGAGAGGAAGAAAGAATCTGAAGCAGACTGTGCTGAGCATGGAGCCTGACACAGGGCTTGATCTCACAACCAGGAGACCACGACCTGAGCCAAAACTGGGAGTTGGACCCTTAACTGACTGAGACACCCAGGCGCCCCAAATCTTTTAAAATTAAGCTCTATGCCCAACATGGGTCTTGAACACACAACCCCAAGATCAAGAGTTGCATGTTCTACCAACTGAGCCAGCCAGAAACATCTGAAAATGACTTGCAGACAGATTTCAAGCCCCTCTATCTTAATTCTTTAGCTAGTATCGCCTAAGAAATAGGACAAGCTTTTACATAGTGACAGTACAACTGAATTCAATGAAATTTAACATTGACACAATAGTTTTTAAATGTGTTCAATATTCAAATTTCTCTGATCATCCCAATATCTTTTAGAGCCTGTTTTTCAGTACAAAACCATGAATTGCATTAGTTGTCTCTTCATTCTCCTTTATTCTGATATAGGTTCTTGGTCTTTCTTTCATGACATCGGCATTTTTAAAGGCAACAGGTACCTTGTTTTATAAAATGTCCTCAATCTGGGTTAGTCAATTTGTCAACCTCATGATTCAGGTTTTGCAATTTTGGCAGAACAGCACAGAAGTGATGTGTCCTTCCCAGTACATCACATCGGGAGGTACTCCTATCAGTTTGTCTCATTTGGTTAAAGTTTAATGACTTGTTGGAAGTGATGCATGACCGGTTTCTCCACTGCAAAGGTACCTTCTCCCCCTTTGCAAGTTAATAAACATTCTACAGGAAGATATGTAACTATCTCCTGCTATCTAACACACTCTCTCCCAACCCTATGGTTTTGGCGTCCATCGTTGTCAAGATGAGTTAGTCTTATGGCTGCAAAATGGTGGTTTTCCTAACTCTATTGCCCCTTCTCTATTTATCAGGTACCATGCTACTGTAAGGAAGGGCTTAGAGGAATGCATTATGCTAGGATGCTTTTCCCATTCCTCCCCTACATCTTTACTCTCTGCTTGAAATGCCTCCCCCCACGGGGCAAATCCTGCCCATCCTTGAAATCCAGATCCAGAGTCACCTATCTCTAAGCCTTTCCTGGCCCCAGTTGGGCAGATAAACCCCTCACTCTGCCTCTTCCCTTCAAGCAAGATGGGCCGCATCTGTCTGGCCATCTCAAGTTTCCGGGGCCGGGAGAGACTGTGGAGGGAAAATCCTCCCTCCCATAGCAAGACTCCCACCCCAGCACCACCTGACCCAGCACAGTGGTTCTCAAACTTTAGCCCCAGAATCACCAGAAGGGTTTGGTAAAACACAGATGCCTGGGTCCTACCCGGGATTCTGATGCACGGCCCAAGAGTCTCACTGGCTTAACAAGTTTGTTTCTCCTTCAGATCACGTGCAAAATGTGGGTTGGCGGGGAGTCTGGCCCACGTGGTTCCTGGGCAACCCAGGGTGATGGAGGCTGCACCAACATGTCACCCCATTTCCCCCTGCGCTTCAGGGGAAGGGAGGGGCATGGAGAGTCAGGCACGGATCTCTCTCTGCTCACAGCCCACAGGCCAGAACTAATTGTGTGCCTTGTCCCCTGCACAGTGGCTGGGAAGCATAGGGATCAGAGGGACCATGGGGTGAGCGCCCTGGCTTCCCGGCCACCACCGCGCTCCCCTTCTCTACCAGCAGGTACATCTTCTTTCCACTCCTCAAACACACCAAACGCTTTTCTGGCCTTTGTGCCTTTGCCCTGGCTGCTCTCTGCCCACGTAGTCTTGTGCCAGCTCTCACACAGTTATCTCAAGTGCCACCTCCCTGGAGAGGCCTTCCCTGACTGCCACCCACGCCCTCACAACACGCCGCTAGAATTCTCTGCCTGGCCCTCATCATGCCGTGTTTGGTACCATCTTTCTCCCAGTAACAGATTGTATGTACACTCCACAAGAGCAGAAGCTACTCCAATCCCCACTACCTAGAACAGGGCCTGGCACGCAGTAGATCAAGACAAACTTACTCAATGGATTAACCCTAAGGTGTATTACTACTCACATCCTGCAGGTTAAGAGGCCCCAGAAGACCATAAGTGGCTCGCCCAAGGTCACATCATGACCGAACGGTAGCGCCTGATTTAAAATCCATGCTGCCACCACCCACTACAGTTTGTCTGCATAATTTCACCGCATCCACAGACGGAGGTGGCAGAGTAAGTTTGATCCTTTTTCTCTCAATTTTCTGACGACCCTCCACTGTCCTTGGTTTTCAAAAAACATTTTTTAAAGATTTTATTTCAGAGGAGTGGGGAGGAGGGGCAGAGGGTGAGGGGAGAAAGAATCCTAAGCAGACTCTGCACTGAGCACGGAGCCTGACGTGGGGCTCGATCCCACAGCCCTGAGATCATGACCTGAGCTGAATCAAGAGTCAGATGCTTAGCTGACTGAGCCACCCCAGATGCCCCTCAAAAACTTTCTTAACACAACTCTGTGGAGGGCAATCTGGTAACTGTGAGATGTGCTCACATATGTGAAAGATTAAATACATGCCAACTTTTTTCGTTACAGTGTTGTGTTAGAAAAGGTCAGAAGGAACTCCATGTGTCGCCATAGGGCACTGGTCCACGGGAGTGTGAATGTATTCACCGTGGCTGTGTATGCATGGTGGAACAGTGCACAGCCCTGAAAAGTAGGGAAGATCTTTGGATTCCAACTGACAGGTGTCTAAGGGACATTTAATCTTCCAGAAGAGCTGAATAGCTTTACGACTCACATAAATGAAAAAGACAAAAATGAAACACAAGCCAGAATCCCAGTGTGGTTTCCATCACTTGAACTTCTTTTATTGATATTCATTAGAGAATAAAATTGTATTGGTTTTTTTTGATGCATAACAACACACTCTGTTGGTAGTGGTTGCACAAGGTTGATCATGAACTATACTAAATACTGCAACCTCCGAATTGCTGATTTTTTACACTGGTATTTCCTTTGTGGTGATGGGTAGCTCCTTTCTGAATACATATAGAGGTCCGTTCAGTTCGTGGTTTCCATATTCCTTTCTTATTCTACCTACTGCCTTAAAATACATTCAAATACAAAGAATTTCCTTGCAGTGAGTGCACACATACAACCACAAGGGGAACTGAAAATAATGAACCAACCCCCTCGTGTTCTGAGAATAAATAATCTAAAAGGGTGGGACTGAAGCTTGCTCCTTTGAGACATTCTCAAAGAGTCTTCAGTGGGCATGTTTACACTCAGCTGGACACATTTTTGCGGGGGTGGGAGGAGGGGGGGTCGGGGAACAGGGATTGCAACGTGACAATTTCATCTGCATACGATGTCACCCGGAACAAAGGACCAGGGAGCACTGTGCCGGGCAGTGCAGCCCTCAGGTGAGAATAAATAAGTTACCTGCTTGGAGTGGAAGGCCACAGACACACTGTGACCAGGGCTGGAGAGAACAGCACACACACACATAATAAATAAAAGTTCAAAACGGTCAGTGACAGCAACAGGACCAGGCTCCCCTGTTCATTTCTGGTTCTTCCCAGGAGCACCTCTATTTGATTTCCTAGGGATAAACAGTGGGCACACGGAGACCAAGGTTTTGGGGGGAGCAGGTGGGGGAAAAGATCTTGTTGTGACCACTCTGTCCTGAAACACGAGGGCAAGGTGTGGGGGCACCGACTGTGTGCGTAGAGACCACGTCCGTGCCAGCACACGGGCCAGCCTCGGACGCCACAGCGAGGACCAGAACCAACAGGATGCCCAAGCCGCATTGCTCTCGTGAACCAGTCTGGTATTGCATTAGGTGGGTGGTTCTTTTTACTTTTCCCACTGACACATTCCATCCACGCCCTTTTTCCCTGCCCACCCCCCCCCCAACCCCGTTCCTTTTCATCCTATTGTGAAAATTGTCTTGGGTCTGGTCTTAATTTGGTTTGTGACCCTGGGTCCCCAAACTCCACTGCTATCTCACTAGCCACTGGGCATGCGTGAAACCTATTTCCGTGGCCCAGAGCCACAGAGAGAACAGAGACTGTGACTTTCCATCTAGTACCATTACTTCCCTGCCTATAAAAAAATGGAAAAAATAAGACCTCACACAGAACACAGCGGGAGTGTCGATACATTCTTTCAGGCCACACATCTGGCCTGACGACCGGGGACAGGACATCAAAGGGTGATTTGGGTTGAAGGCGTGGAAAGAAAAAGTCACACCTCAGAAAAGAAGCGACTCTCCACTGAAGCAGAGGAGTGAAGGTCTGGAGGCAGAGAAGGAAGAACAGCCCTGCCATCCTGGAAGCGACATCAGCTGCTCGTGGCTGCAGTGGCCGCAGACAGAGGCTCCCGCTGTGCCCACCCAGCGACACCAGCCGGCAGAGGCCTCGCCCCCCCAGCCCGGGCCGCGTGCCAGCTCACCACGTGCGGCACCGGGAGCCAGCCGCGGATTCACGGGTTTCCTATCCATGGGATAAGAACACCCTTGGGAGTTTCAGTGCTTCTTGAAGGAGAGGAGGAGGCGAACAGGACACCCGGCCACCCCCCTGCCCTCGGGCTAGCACAGGTGCAGTCCCAGTAGGAGCAGGGATGGTGCTGGGGCCCCTCCCGCACGATGGGGAGAAAGGGCAGGTGGATACAAGGTCCGCAAGTCCTATGTACACTTTACAAAGTCTCCACTCTTCCCCCATTAGGCACGAGGTTGATTTGTCTAGCTCCAGAGGGGAGGGACGGAGGAGGAAAGAGGGAGTGCTCGCAGTGAGCCTGGTCTCCTCCAGGGGAAGGACCCCCCTCCCCTCCTCACCGTAAGCTAGTTTGTTTGGGGAGCTTAGCACCCATCAAGATGCCCGAGGTGAGAGTCACAGGGGCTTTCATCTGCATGCTGGACCCCACCATGGTGGGGAAGCTGCGGTTCCTCCGGATGCCGCTGTTGAGCTGCAGTCCGCCCATGGCCCTGGTGACAGTGGGGCACCCGAGGGGCAGGCCCTCGGGGACCAGGCCGCCAGGGACGAGGGCCTGGGCGGGGCCTGCGGGCCCACAGAGGAGAGGTCCCTGATCCTCAGTCAAGGTGGGGACGTGGGCTCGCCCTGAGTTCACCACTTTGGCCACGCCAAACCTCCTGACTTTGTCCACGAGGTTGAGGTTGGAGACAGACACGTCTGTCTGGCTCTCACTGCTCCGGACGTTCTTCTTCTCCCTCACTTCCCTCAGGATGGAGCTGGCCGGCTTGGAGGCCAGGAAGTTGTCATAGGGAGGGCTCGTGCACTTGAACTCAAAGGAGGGCGGGGAGGATGTGGGCGTCTGCATAGGCGAGTTGGGTGGGGTGGAGGGGATCACAGCCATCCTGGGGGTGTAGGAGTGCAGGAGGGAGCCCCGGCCGGCCCTGTCCCAGCTCTGAGGATTGTACACGGCCGCGGAAATGCCCCGCTCCTTCAGTAGCCACACCAGCCCCAGAGACGTGCTCATGGTGGTCGTGGACTCACGGATGTTAGTGAAGGATTCAGCCAGGCTCAGTCTCCGTGGAGTGCATGGGGTGGCCACCGGCGTGGACTTCAAGTGGCTGGCGCTGCCACAAGCTGGAGTTGGAGCCGAGTTAAGGCTGACAAGGAAAGACAAGAGGTCATTTGTCAGCAAATGCCCACAAGCCCCCAGAAAGGTTCGCGGCCAGTCTCCTGCTGGGGTGCAGGGAGGGCTCCCCCAGCCCAGGCTCCCCAGATGCCTCCTTCCCTGTCTGTTCCTTCCTCCTACTCAAGAGGGCCCTGGGTTCCCTTGCATGGGGGCATGGTTTAAAGTTAACAAGCTGCACGTTGATTCCCTTGTCTCGGCCCCAGAGGGCAGGGATAACTGTCCCCTTTGCAGGTGAGGCAAGTCAGACTCGGAGGTTAGGTGGCTAGTCAATGTCACACTCAGCTATTAACTGGAAGACCCAGGATTTGAGCCCAAGTCTGAGGGCTCAGGCCTCAGGGATGGGGGTTGGGGGGAGCCCCTCAGGAGACAGGCTTCCTCTCCCTACCAAATGTACTCAAATTTCAGCGTTCCTTCCTAACGACTACTTCCCTGAGGCAAGAAGTTAACCAGGACTATGGGATCTGAGAGCTCATCTCAGGAATGGCCCCAGCAGGTAGGACCCTTGGGTGATGGGGGGGCGGGGGAGGGCAGAGGCTGACGGCATGCATCACGTCAGCAGCAGACCCCAGCCTCCTGACTCCCACTGTAGACTTCCCTCCGTGCCACGCTACCCCTTCGTCCTCCTCCCATGGTTGCTGAGTCCACCTCAGGGGGTGGAGATGTGGGGTCAGCAGCAGCCACGTCATGTGTCATCAGGCCTCTATCTGTGGAGCGATCTAGAAAAGGCTCATGGGATGTATGAAACGTGCATCATCAAAGGAAAGCAGGAAGACTCCTTCATCTACTCCTGCCAGGCTGGCTGAGGACCCAGTATGTTCCAGAAGCTGGGGTCCCACAGAAAGGGGAGTTATGACAAAATAGTTCAACTGGTGCTGCAGGGGCAAAGGCATTGCTGTCTGCTTAAAAAACAGGAAAGGCCCTCTCTTAACAGCTGGTACAGGGATGGGGCTGGGAGGCCACATAGGCACAGAGGCCCTTCATGGCCACTGGATGAACCGCCAAGGGCAAAGCAGCATACCCTTCCCCTTATAGTCTTGTGAGCCCTGCCCTGCTACCCACCCAAGGACATGGCAGGGGCTGCAGGTGCCCTTTGGAGCAGCCAGCTGGGTGATCCCCAAGAGCTGGGAGACCCTCTGTCCCCAGCCTGGCAGGGGGAGGGCCAGATACCTGGGGCAAGACACCAACCAGGGGAACGGGCAGGAAGGGGCCTCCCGCTGCGGGAGGGAAGGTCACAAGCAAGTTCGAGCTAAGGCATCCTTTGGTTCCTTGCCACTGGCTGGTCAGCACAGGGCGAGAAACCCAGAACAGGTCCACGTCACGCAAGCTCAGGGGTGGGGATGCTGGTGGGGCAGGAGCACTCAGAGAAACACGAGATTAGGAGCCACAGCAGATTCCTAAGGTTAAAAAGTGGGTTCTTCAAAAGGCACAGGTGGGATTCGACAAAACTGGTCTACAAGCAATAGAGGACAAGAACAGCCTGGACTCAAAAATCTTGTTTACGGGGCCATTCTTGGGGAGATCTGTGATTTTGTGTCAGGCAGCTGTTCCTTCAAACTCACACAAAAAGCCTTCTCTTGCTACTGACTGCCCAGGCCTTTGCCGTCCCTGACAAGAGATGGGGACAGGTGTGCTGGTTGGCGTCCTATGGCTTCAGGCAGGAGAGCACTGGGCACCAGCCTCTCCCAGGGGAAGCTCTATCGCACGGTGAAAACACAGAGCTCTTCCAACGCAGAGCCCTGGGGGGTGCTTGGGGGGGTGGGGGTGGGGGAGGGGGATGCCGGCTTCTCCAGAGGCAGGAAGGAGACAGAGAAGACAAGCTAACGTTTAGATTCCCTTTCTGCCGAGAACTTCCGTTAGGCCCATATTAGTGCTGGCACTCGGCTCAACTGAGCATTTAGAGGGGTTAGGGGTATCCACTGTCAAGGCCACGTTAGCCAGGCACAACCACAGAGACACATCCACGCCTAAGTCCTGGGTTAGTGGCGGCCACGCGTGCACACACCGCTCCTTCCAGGAGGCCCTGCCCGGGCAGGCACCGCTGACAGTGTGCTCACCCCCTGCCTCGCCTGTGGGCTCACTCTCTGCCCTACATCTCCTCTCAGCTCAACAGGGCATAGGGCCGCTTCGTCGTCCTCCTCACATGACCTGTGGAGAATTATTCATAGTTTAAGGGGCTCCCTGGGGCGGCTGCTCCCTCCGGGGGCCCTGCTCGCCTCCCTCCCTTTCTGCGTTACCTGCCATTCACCCCAGCATCTTGCTCGACTGCACCAGAAACAGCTGAGGGGGCCACTTCACCATTTTGCCCTTCCACTGGAAGCCAAGCGGACCACCCCACGCCATCCAAGTCCTCTTGCCAGATGGTGCCAACCTCTATCACTTCTTGAAGGCACCAAAGGGAAACGGACCGTGCTGGGCACACGGTTCGGTCTTTGGGTTTTATCATTTCAGTCATTATCATGCGGCTGTGGTGCATGGTTCCTGCGGTCTATTCCAGATGCACCAGGGGCTTCCACAGGGCTCAGAAACTCCATTCTGTGAAGGAACTCCATGCTCTACTGACAAACTTGGGGACAAAATGCCAGCAACCTTGGCCTTACCGCCTGTGGTACTGTCAGCTTCAGCTGGTTAAGGACGGACCTAAGAATCTTCCGTGGCCATTGAAAAAGGCAACTATAGGTAGGTCCAGGTCTGTCTCTGTGGTGAATCTGAATCAACAGGAAAGATGGGACCCCAAACAGGTGACAGACAGCAAGTGCTACAGGATACCTCAGCTGGCCGGAGTTGGTTTTGAATGAGCCTCTCTACTTGACTTTCCTTGACAGCGAGTCTTGTGGGGAGTGCCCCAACCTCACCACATCCTTACCCACCCCGGGGCCTGGGTCCCTTACCTTGGCGTGACCCGTGTGAGCTCGTCTGAAGGATGCAGGATGCGGCATGTGGTGAAGGTGAAGGTGGAGTTGGTCTGTGACATGCACTTCCCAGGGTGGTGCGCTACATTGGGAGGGGAACAAAACATATTCCTTGCATCCAAGTAAACCCATGAGAAAAGTCAAATTCCAGCATGGCTCTCAACAGACTAAGAAGCGATGAGCTACCTTGTTAACTGGATCTGGGCAAGGAAGGTGTAATGCAAACGTTCTGGATCGAAGGTGGTCTTTCAAAAATAACCACACTTTTGAGCACTGGCATGCAGTGCATCAAATTCCAGCTTCCGACCCAATCCAGACAAGGTTCCCCATCAGTGTTCTTTGGCCAGTAGTGGATCCAGTTTGAGGAGCTAATGAGCCCTTGGGAGTAATTTGGTTTCCCTCCTCAGGGGTCAGAATCGGCTTCCTTCTTGTGGTGCTTCACCCTTTTCACTGGCAAACAGGTGCCAAGTTCTGCCAAGAAGAGGGGAGAGGTGTGGGGCGGGGAGGGGCCTTGCCACCTGGAAACTGGGCAAGGCTTGCATGGCTCCCTTTCCAGAGTACATGAAAAGGGGCCTGGGGAAGCTGGCTCCACTACTGTCTGTCGGAGATGGGCAGGGTGGGAGATGGGGCCTCAGCTGCCTCAGCAACAGGGGGTAAGACTCCCAGAGCCCGGGGCTGTTTCCAGCCCTAGGATCAGGTGTGGTCTGATGCACTCTAGTGCCTACAGCCCCTGTCCCCCAGGCCACTCCCTTGGCATCTCTGGAATGTCTGATTTCTAAAGAAAACAAGACAGCCACAAGCTGTCCTCAATTTATTTCCTTTTAAAGCTCTAAAGAGCTGTTGTTCAGGCAGCTGAAGACTATGATTTGGAGCAAAGTAAATCACAGAAGCGTTAAGACCATGCATCAAGAAGCTGGCAAATGGTAAAGTAAGGAGATAGTCTACGGGAGACATCATGATTGTAGAGATCACCCTCATTCATAACTCAAATGCAAAAAAAAAAAAAAAAAAAAAAAAAAAAAAAAAAAGGAAAAAGGGGGAAAAAAAGATGCTGCTCTGAATAGCATGCACAGTGAGGTATTGGGACAACCCCCCCCACCACCACCCCCTGCAGCAGCTCAGCCCCCAGAGACCTCTTGGGGGAAACACATTTGGTTCTCAGATGCCATGAGCACTCTGAAGATTCAGAAGGCTGTGAACTAGAATCTTCTAGCTCGTTATGGCAATTTTTCTCTTGGATTTTACAAAAAAGGAAAAGGAAAACAAAACAGAAGAGACTGGTGCCCTAAACCTACAGATCCACACACAGCCAACTGTGTCTTTAAAAAACAAAAACAAAAACAAAACCCAGCAACCAGATGAAACAAAAAATGTCCGAGACAGGCAAACTGAAGGCAGGTAGGACAAAGCCAGAGCACAAAAATGGTGGCAGCGACTAGAGGTGCAATGTAAGACTGCTTTGCCCTGGTTACTATGGTCCAACCCATCTCTCTGGATCCAGGCAGGTGCCCGTGGTCCCTGGCGTGGCAGCCAGCACCCTGGCCACCGGGGCAAACTCTCAACCACAGGGAGCGCCGGGCACAGCAGGAAGGGGGGAAAAAAACACACATGAAAACAGCCTTTATGAATCTTTCTCAACCAATAAATGGGATGGCTTAGGAACTCAGGCAACTGGAAAACTGCTGCAAACAAAACAAAAATGGAATAAGCTATGAAGAAAAGGCAACCGAACAATCACGATTCTCTGACTGCAATAAGGTCTAGCACCAAAAGCAACAAAAGGCCTGAGAGAAGCATCCCAAATAACCAGCATGAGGGGTTATTTGGGAGGGAGGGGGGAAAGAAAAAGGCAGTAAAGAGAGGTAACTAAGACAAAACAGTGGAAAGAGTGAAACTTAAAAACAAATCAAAAGCAAGGCTGGATTTAAAATTAGAGGAGTGTAGCCCCTTTCAACACATGGCCAGAATATCGAATCAAAAGGTCCCAAAGGCCCACTCCTCCTCCACCCCATCACACATGGGATCTTTGATTGCAACAGGTAGCGCGAGATGGACATTTTAGAGACGCGGTGGCATCAGCAGAAGCGAAACCCATCTGACACAAATGGGTTTTGGGGATAGGAAAAGGCTGCTAAAATTCAGAAGTCATCATTCCCCGGAAGCCACGGATAGGAAGATCAACAGGAATCAAGAGCGCCAAGCCAGAGGTTCGGCCCCTCCGCAATACCACTGGGACGCCTGGCCCCGCCAGCTCTCTGCGTGTCACCATTGCCCGCCGGGCTGCTGCGGTGCTTCCCTTCCTTGGGACACAATACAGAGACAGTGAGTCGCCCCAGGCCCCCTGTGCTCACTGCCCAGCAGCTACAGGCTGATTCCTAAAGCCCTGCCTGCAGGAGAGCAATTTCTCCAAGCAAGATGCACAGGATGCCTTCTCCTCAGCAGAGACAGGAAGCTCGTGGTGAGGGCTCCCTACTCAAGTCCCCCGTCCCCACAGTGCACCAAAGCCCTGCCTCACGTGCTGTGTGGTCTCCTCCTGCTGCCCACTCGGGGCCTCCAAGGGACGGGGTTTCTTGGATTTAATGCTCTGACTTCCTACTTCAATCCCCCGGACTATGGTGGCCCCACGGTGTTGCAAGGAGAGAGTATTAAACGGGTTAGAGTAGTCACACTGGAAAGGGCTTCCATCAAGCATCCCCCAATCCTACATTTTTTTAATTTTTTAGAATTTTATTATTATTATTTTTATCTGTTCCTTTTCCACCAGGTTCTGACACTGGTACAAACTCCGAATCTATCAAAGAGAACCTATAAACTTAGTTATTCCTTGATTATTCAAGATCTTCTGAGTTGGTGAACTACATACAGGTGGCTAGCGTGCACATTTTTTTTTTTTCCTGAACACAGGCCGCCTGCAGGCACATCCCTTCAGCTAGCTGCAGGTGGGGCATAGGAGGGCTTTCGACGGACAAGGGTCACCCTGCTCACTTGCTCTGTGATCTGACCCTGTGCGCTTTCTGCCTGGCGCAGGTGCACTTGGTAAATGGTTCTGATGGGCTGTGCTCCTCTGGGGGGCACAGGGTGCCCGGTACTGACTGGAAACTGGGTGCTTGGGATCCTGCTGCTGCAGCCAGTCATGGGGGTGCCCTGAGAGGGCCCACAGTCTCCAGTGAGCTGGGGCTTCCTCCCTGGACGGCCCTGAGACTATACTGGAGGTTATCTGCAAGTGTGCTATGCAGATCTGGGTGATCGCTGCTCAGTGGGATGCTCGGGCCTCCAGAGGAGATGGGCAGGAAAGCCCACTGCTCTTCCCAGGGCCCCCTGCTCTAGTTGTGAGGAGAGACAAGGAGCACAGACAAGGTGGGGTTGCTCTGGTGGGGACCTGAAGCCCAACCAAGACTCTACCAGCCTCTCCCATCCAAGTGATGTGATTGGTATATACCAACTCATGCATTTCAGTCAATCCCAATGGCACTTTCCATCCCCCATCCACAGGCAGGCTGGTAACTTAACATGCTGGGGAGAACAGAAACTCGCCCCTCTAAAGGCCATCGTGGCACCCAGTCCTTCAAAGAGCCCCCGCGTGAACCCACACAGATGCCAAAGAGCATGCTGCTCCCAGAGGTTTCTAAGGGGAGTTGTGAAATACACACCTGTACGAGGCTGCTTCAAAGGGGCCCTCTTGAGGACGGAGAAACCTGGCCACACCATACCCCCAAGCCATGTTTTTGCTAACACAAATAACTTCTTAAAAGTCAAAATTACAAACACCTCTCCAAATCTTGGAAAAAGAGGACTTTGTGATGCACTGAACACGTTTCCAGAGTCTCTTACCGCTTTTCATGGGAAGCGGTCAAACCCATGTGAAATGAACAGAATGCCTGACAATTTCCTTTTCTTAACTTGAACACTTAGGGTGAAGCTGCGGTCACGCGATTTGGATCTGCTTTGCCATTTCTATGAACTCATTAGCCGACACACACACACACACACACACACACACACACACACACACGCATCTTCTCCCCACCCCCTTCCCTTCCCCCACCAGTTCCGGAAGCTGCCACCACATCAACAGTGGTACCCACGGGCCGGCCTTTTATATCCAAGCCAAACCAAACCCACTGAAAAGAGAAGCCACTGTCCATCCAGTTTAAAGGCGTGGCTTGAACTACGACCATCCATACCTTTTCTTGTCTTTTTGTTTTGACCTTTTGACTAGCTTCTAATGACTTCGTTACTTTTTGTTCAAAGAGTAATCACGTTGTGGGGGGGCGGGGTGCCTGTCACTGCCCTGCTAAGTGCCTTCCAAGCCAGTTCAGGAGCGCGCTTCCCCCACCAGCCTCTAGGCGGTGCCGCTGGACCCCCTCACCCCATCCCAGAGCTCCCTCCTCCACTGAGAAGTGTCTGCTGCTTGAGCACACTCCTCAGTGGTCCACATGGGTGCTCCTAGAGCACGAGAGGGCCCTCCTGTGGTTTTCAGAGGTGAGGATGCCATCAAGAGAGCGCTCCCAAAAAGCAGGCTTGTTCAGGACATTGTAAGCAGGGATGACTCCAGCTGTTGGTTTGGGAGGAGTCAATGACCTCTCTTCATTCATTTTTCCACTTCCAGGTTTCGGTTGGCCTGTTTTGCTCTGGTTTTATAGGTATCCTGAGGCAAGGGCATGGGGGCTTCCTTAGCATCGCCTAACACAGGTGGGTGTGAGCAGACCATCTGCCCTGTGCGCAAGGACCGAACTCCTGTAACCACTCTAGAACGAGGGCTGGGTTGGAAAGTCTTCCCATCAGAGTGGGACTGCGTGGTCAACTCTCCGTGGAGACAAACATGAACCTTTCCTACACCTGAGGGTCTATGAATCAGAGGGATCGGACTTTCCTTCCAGACCCATCAGGCCCCCACGGCCCACTCTCCCTCAGGACCCACTTGGGGTCCTGGGACAGCAGAAAGTACAGGACATGGCTGTAGGGCTCTGCTCCAACCTGCTCCTGGCCCACACAGGCGCTGGAGAAATACTCTGCTGGCCCTACTGGCCCTCTGGCTCCTTTCCTCCACAAGCTCTTCCTTCTCTTGCCTTGCTCAGTAGCCACTCCTGAACAGAACCTGGACCTATGTATCAAGTAAGGATGCTATAAAAGAAGCTAATTCCTGGCCTTTGCCAGTGGGCTTGGGGGGGGGGGGGGGGGGAGGCGGGGAACAGGTCCATGTGCTGCAGCTTCAGGGGATTTTTCAAGGGCTATTTGACCAAATGTGATTTTTGCCTTCAACACCTACTTTTGCACCTTAGCCCCAGTGACACAGCTCCACTGTGGGGCCACCGCCAGACAGGCAGCTGTGATTGCTAGGAGCCTGTTTTCAGGCACTTCCCCCACCTGAGTGGCCCTCATAGGTATGAGTATGAAAATAAACTGACCTTTGCTTTCTTCTATGTTGCTCTAATCCTACTTCTTTCTCCCCTGTAAGGATCCCGGCGTCCAAGATAATTCAACTAAACTGTCCAACCAACCATCTACTAACGTAACTGTATGCTTTAAAACACTGATCTTAATCCTTCCCCACATGCTGGCTCTTCCCTCCGCATAAATACCTAAAATTCAGAACATGGACAGTACAAGATCATGACTATTTCTGATAAATTGCTCTTTCTATGTGAGTTAATATGTAAAAGTCACTGAAAAGTAAAACTATAATCTAAAAATTGTTTTTAAAAAATCCATTTTAATCATCTAAATTATTTACAAATATAGAAACAAGGAGTCGTGCTTTTTAAGACATGGGATTATAAAAATCAGCAAATAATGATACAATACATTAAAATATATTGACTTTTTTTTTTTCAGTACTCAGAACTTTTTCTCCATGAGCCAACAGGTTCTAGACAAAAGTGCCTAATATTCAAGTCTCCCCAGTTTCCTCCCAGAGTATCAGTTGCAAGAAAAAAGGCTAAACCTTCTTCTGTCTTCAAAGTTCCTCCCTACACAGTATTCCCAGATGGCAGCTTCTGGGAATGTGCTATCTGGCAAGAGAAAAGCCTAAACATCAAGGGTGGACTGAGGCAGACCAGACCAGCCTGGATACAAATCCCAAGACAGACAATGCCCCAGTCCTCCCTGCTGAAGCTTATCTATTTACCTGTGACTCCAGGATTATGTACATAGGGCCACTCGGGGCCTCGGGGGTGATTTACCTAGAGTGACATGTTTCTTACCTTCCAGTAATCAAAAGGGTCCTGTTACTCCCAATAGGGAAAAAAAAGAGCCAAATCACTGTTCACACCGATCCCCTCTGTGCTGAGCTTTTAACAAGTCTGACCTAGAACGAGCCCAAAAGAATTCTTGTCTTAAATGATCAGGCCCTTCCTAAGTTACCTTCAGCAATCTACAGAACTCTTTTTGATCACATACTTCCAATGTGGGCTCCTCTAAGCTTCAACTCTAGATTGGTGTGCCTCTCCTCCAAGTTGCCAAGATGAATTTGCTGCAGGTTTTGAGGAAGGAGGGAAGAAGCAATAAATATGTCTTTGTTTATGGTAAGGAAAGTGGTCAGGATTTATGTCATAATTGATCTCTCCCTCTGACCTCTGAGGGAAGTTCTTAGCTGACTTGATTGATAAGTTTTATTCCTTCTGTACAACTTTTTGAAGACACACCTAATGGTGCTACTTTAAACTTACAGCATTCACCTTCTGGTCCACCTGTAGGACTGCAGGGAGGGGTCATCACACTTGACATGATTCCTACCCTTTCAGTCACAAAACTCAGCAGACACTGTGTTTCCCGTACCACTGTCTGCCTTCCAGAAGGACAGTGGTGCAGAGAACAAAGGGAAGTAACGATAGCACAGCTGGTTTCCCTTTAAGTATGAAAGATATTAAATAAAACGCATTTTCATTCCCTTGCAAGCTTAATCTGGAAACTTAATTGCTAAAAAATAAATCAATAAACCATAAGCTTATGTGCTAAACCAATCCTTTTTACTTGGTGATATCTCTAAAGTTTATGTCAAAGAAAAAAGAAAAGTTGGCCCCAAATAAAGTCCCTTGCCACAGGCATCCGAACTTAGGCTGGGAGGCGCCCTCATGCACCTCAGCTCTCTCCTGCCCTGTCCTTCACCGGAGTGTTGCGGCCTTCATGAACAAAAGTTAAGAATCACAAAGATGTGTGTCCTCTCCTCAAGTCTAGTGACTCCGAGATGCCATCAGCATGACAACATTGGGTGAATTCATCTTTTTCTGCGTCTCTGCCCTGATCCCACGAGAGAGCTTCCTTGTCTTCTCAGCACTGCAGCCAGGGGACCCAGGAAGTCTGGGGCAAGTGGTAACCACATAACCTTTGTGGTCCCAGGGCCCCAAGCCCAAACCATTTCATCCCAGTGACACCTAGGGTGTAATTCTGCAAACTCATGATCCCATCTTTAATGGGGTAGCAGGGGTGGTTGATCAGCTAGAGCTCTTCTCCTGATTCATCTGGGGTCCCGTCTCTGGAAAAGCTTACTGACATACTCCTTGGGTTTGTTGGGGTTAAGGAGTATTGCTAAAACACTTTGGAAAACTCCACTTTGAACACATGTGTAAGCTGGAAAGAAAATGCATATACCTTGATTGAAGTTAGAAATGTGAAAAGGCCGATCTATCCCAGTGTTGTCTGAAATCCTGAACACTTTCTGGGCTTCTTCCTATTTCGACACTCCTCAGAGGTAACAGATTCTCTCCTTCACTCTCTTGACCGATCCAGCACTCCTGATTTCCCCTTAAAATGCCCAACTCTGCTCAGCTCAGTTTGGAAATCACTGCAGGACTCGGGAACCTGCCCCCCAGCCCCCAGCCTCGGGGAGAGACCCACAGCAGGAACAGGGGAGCTGACATGCGGGGCGGGATGGGGGGCAACAAGCCACTTCTTTTTAGCAGCCTTTCCTGCTCCCTGGTCAGGAGCCCTGGTGGGCCATGCACCTCCAAGATGGGCAGGGAGCTACACCCATTCGTTACACCACGGGGGCATCGGACTCTGCGTTAAAAAACAGAACCGCGTAATGGGAATGCTTTAATCATCACCCACACAGACGAGCGGAAGCTACAGACAGAGAGCCACTACGGATGGTGCTCGGAACAGAGGTGAGAATGGCCCAGAACTCGGCCTCCGGTAAAGATGCCAGATTTACAGGACTTATCGAGGTGCCCTCACCAGACCCCTCCTCCTCCTCCTCCTCCTCGGCCGCTGGCGGCTCCTGCATCTCCTCTGGGCAAGCCTGAGGCCGGCGCGGGTAACTTCTGCTGCCTGAGCCAGTCACGCGTGCTCGGGACCCCTCACCTGAGGTCTCTGGGTGCTGAACTGGCGTGGAGGTAGCTAGGCCCGGGAGGGAAATGTGGTCACCTGTGTCGTCTTCCTCAAAGTCGTTAAGGCAGTACACTTCGTCCAGGTCAACGTCCAGTGTCCGGAAGCCCTTGGTGACCACCCCGGGCCGGGGGTCCAGGATGCCCCCGAGGTGGGGCTGGGCCAGCTGCTGCCAGTGGTGAAGGGTGGCAGAGCCTTGCAGGAGAAAGCGCAGAGAGGGAGGGGGGACAGGGAGAAGAGACGGTTAGGATGGAGGTCTGAGCCGAAGGCTGTCACCACCCCCGGAGTGTGGAAACCAACCCCTGGTAGGATCTGAGCCCAGCGGGTGAACTCTGGGAGGGACGCTGGCAGAGCGGTCTTGGCCACGGGCCACTGTGCCACAGGGGCTGATACCTCGCCAGGCCTGGGAGGACCACCCATTCGGGGAATCCCAAACAAATCTTTTTATGAAGCAAAACTAGTGCCATCTGGTGGGGCAAGGATGTTTGGTGACAAACTAGTCAAGCGAGGTCGATCCCCAAACCCAACACCGTATCAACGTAGGAAGAGCAGAGGAAAGATAAGCAAGACAAGTAAAAAAAGGGGGTGTCTGGGTACTGACTCTGTGCCAAGCACCCATGGCTGGGGACAGGGAAAGACCCAAGCTGAGGGAGCATAAGACAATGTGGAACCGACCCCGGGACGCACGACATGAGACAAGCAAAAGGAAATGAGAGTCACATGCACGACTGTCACCTCCTTTACTTCTGAGGGTTTCTGTTTTCTGGCAGCAACCCCGAGAGGCTGCAGGTTTGGGAGAGGGAATGGTGCCAGCCAGGTGTGATCGATGAGCACGAAAGTCCACACAGAGGTCTGAAGCAGAGGAGATCTCAGTGACACCAGACCCCGGGACTCAGATGACATCGTGCAAGGTCTGTAATAACACCGGAGTGTGTCCCCGAGGACCTTGAGGGCATCACGGTGGCTCACAGAGAGAAGCATCCCAAGAATGAGTATGCTTTGCAAACCAGGCTTGAGAAGCAGATTTACGGAGGGACACCTCAGAACCTTCAGTCTGTTGCTGTGTCCTGGGATTCTGCCCAGTCCATTTGCTGGAGCAACCCTTTCTTCCCTTCAGGACACTTCTCACACCTCACGTGGCCCAGGGATGACAGCCCGTGAGGCTGGGTGTCTGTCCCCAATCTACAGATGAATTAGTTAGCCACACAAATGCCTACCCTACACTCAAGAGAGAGACTTTGAGAGCAGTTCTCAGGCGTGGGAAAGCAGGGGCCTTCCCACACAAATGCCTCCTGGTTACCGCTGGTTTACCAAGGGCGGCCTCTGTCAGGCAGGCAAGAACCCCTCCGGGCTGCCCTGTTGGAGAGGGGAGCCAGGGGTGCCAGGAGCCAGCAGCTCAGGAGTCAAGAGAAGAGAGAAGGAAATGGTGGTAGGTGTTGGGGTCAGGGACCGGTCCAGGAATGTGAGTGAGATGCAGAGAACCCCCTCAACAGGAGCTCCCGACCCTCTGGTGTGCCCAGTGAGTGCGCAGCCCCCAACACACCGCCAGGAAGGAGCTTCCAGGGCAATCCCAGCCAACGAGTCTTGAAGGCATTTTGTAAGTGGGCAATTTCACATCCACTTTAAAGAGAAACGCGGTACACCCTGCCAGTACATGTTTAGGGAAGTCCCCAGACACCCACTTGGAGGTCTGTCCCAGTTTTAAGTGTGCGCAAGTACAACCTACTTTACCTGAATCTACTGCATATAAATAGCAAATATTCTACATGCAAAAGAAACGCAGTAATAAAGAGGTCCATACGACAAAAGAGCATCACATACTGTTCTCTCACGAGAGGTCCGTACGACAAAAGAGCATCACATACTGTTCTCTCACGAGGTGCTCAGATGCTTCTAGAGCCGCGGTTCTCAACCAGGGATGAGCTTGCCCCACACGGGACATCTGGTAAACCAACGGAGACATTGTTGGTTGCCACCACTGTGGGGAAAGAGGAAGTGCTAATGGCACTGAGCGGGCAGAGTCAGGGGTGCTGCACCCCATGATGCCCAGGGCAGCCCCCTCACCACAGAATGATCCAGCCCCAGGTGTCAGCAGGGCTGAGACTGAGAAACCCTGACCTAGAGCTGTGGTCCTCTATTCTCAGATCTCTGGAGAATCCGGAGGAGCTCACGTGCAAGCAGCAGCATGCATAACCGACCAGGGCTTGGCAGACGTGCTCAGGCCAGCTCATGGGATCCTGGGGCCGGGGTGCCATAGCATCATTTTTTTTTTAAGCTACCCTGTATCGAACGGGCCTGTGTAACAGCTTGTGTTACATCAACTCCTAGCTCAGAAGCACCCAATGAGGGGACTGAGGTTCACTGAAGTTAGACAATTTTCCCAAGTCCCTGAGTAGTGGTGGCACTGAAGGCCAGGCTCCTCGAGTGAGTTCACACCGCCTGCCCCCCTGCAAAGTTCGCAGGCCTGTAAACAAGCAAGGACCTCAGTGCTCCAGCCAGGAACCCACATTAAGTGAGAAGCATCGATGGTGGGCAGTAGAAGTTCTAGGTGGCCGTCCAAGGCCAGCCAGGAGGCACACACACTGTGGCCAATGGGATTTCTCAAGCCACCCCTGGAGAACCCCATTCATGATCCATAATGAGCCCCCTATTCGTGTGTTCACTGGATGCCCAGGCACATTCCTGGCAAAAATACTGCACTGGGGAGAAGACTTAACAAGGCACCGTGACATCCAGCTTGGGACGCACATGCTGGTCTTAGGAGGATGATGACAAATCCCTACGTATGGTGTGGCCACGTCACCTCTACTTGTGGAAGGGGAGGAAAGGGAAAGTTGACAGACACTGGCAAGTGAAGAACCATGTCCGGAAGTGCCAGAGGTCCTCACCTTTCTGAAGGGCGCTGAGGTGTTTACCTCAGCCCTGGGAAAGAAGTCAGGGAGGCTGGAGGTCTGGGCCCGGACACCAGTCCCATGGGCCTCCATCCTCCCTCTGTTCAGCAGACTGCCCTCATCTCTCCCCACCGCGGGCATGGGCCCGACAGAGAAACGAGGCTACAGGGGGTTTACTGTTTGGAGTTCAAGGTGCTACAGAAGTACATGGGGTTATCTGCCTTCCCTGAACGCGCAGAGCCAAGATTACAATGGAGAGATTATGCTGAAAGATGCATGGTACTTGGATTTTTACCCCCGCCTTGCGCATCCCTTACTCAGGTAGGACAGCCAACCTTTACTGAGCAGTAACCAGGTATCGGACACCCCTCTAAGAGGCCTACACTTAGTCACTCAATCATCATGATAACCCTGTTGTCCTCATTTTACAGGTGAGGAAACTGAGCACAGGCAGGTCAGGTAACTTGCCAGAGGTTGCATGGCTGGCAAATGGCTAGTCTGGGATTCAAACCCACACTGTCCAAACTCCAGTGTCCAACCTCTTAACCATATACACCTTCTCTGGGCCAGCAGTGAGGGGCCCTCCTGGGTGTGTGTCTCAGAAATCAGGCCAGGGTGCCTGGGTGGCTCAGTTGGTTAAGTGACTGCCTTCGGCTCAGGTCATGATCCTGGAGTCCCGGGATCGAGTCCCGCATCGGGCTCCCTGCTCAGCAGGGAGTCTGCTTCTCCCTCTGACCCTCTTCCCTCTCGAGCTCTCTGTCTCTCATTCTCTCTTTCTCAAATAAATAAATAAAATCTTTAAAAAAAAAAAAAAAGAAATCAGGCCAGTAACACACCCGACTGGCTTTTACAATCTCCATACCTTTGCAGTCTTCCGTCCTGCAAAAGTGACTATTGGTGAAAGCCCCCACAGCCCTGTTATTGAGTTATATCAGGCTGTGGGGCTCAGACCATTTCTGCTCCCAACCTGTTCCAAGGCCCCAGGAGGGTTTCCCAGGTCCAGCACCCGAGGAAAACAGCCTACACCTCACTCCCTCCCCCTGCCACTGCCTGGACTGCCACATAGGAATCCTACTGATCTCCTGGCTGCCTAAGGTTCTGTCTTTGATACAAAATGGAGCACAGATCAAAAATTAAATATGAACAGCATCTTATTCAGCCTTGGCTGCCTCTTTCCCATCTCTACACCCTGCCACCCCCTACCCCCACCCCGCCGGCCTGGCTTCCTTTATTTGTCAAGCACAAAAGGAGAGAATCACTGCACTATGAGCTACCTCCCATTACCAGCCCCTGCCTCCCCTCCACGCGAGAATGAGGCTGGGGTCAGGGAAAGAGGAAGCTCTGCGTTCCTAGCTGGCACCAAGATGAAGCTCTATGAAACAAGGGCATGGACAGAAGGGAACAGTTATGGTTACCACGCCTTTCCCTGTTTGCTTTCCTTTCACATCTCACTGTTCTAACTAAAAGCTGTGATATCATCAAAGGAGAAGAAAACCAAATCCATTTATGTCAGAGGAGTATCCGGGGCTTAAAAGTTTAGAACTAACCTGCTGGACAATGTCTAGCTTGGCTGAGAAGTATATGCTTTCCCCTAATTACATATGAACTTACTGAGAAATACCATTTTGGTTTTAATTAATCACGGGGTGGGGGGGATATTACCGGATTCATCTCTCTACTAGTCTGAAAAGTTTTGTTTGCTCTTGGCCTGCTTAAAACTCCTAAGGTAAGATGAAGAGACAAGAGTGCTAATCTTCTTAAACACCCAGCCCAGCTATTTTGGCTGACACCAATAAGCAGATACCAAGATGCATTAAATAGGTAAGGGAGACACAGATGAAGACCCAGATTGGCTATCTGCTATGATCCCAGCCAACACTCTCCAGAAACCTCACCCCAGGTACATTTGCCTGAGCCACTGAAGATCAAGGGAATCCTATTAGCTTCTGAGGCGGCCAGTGGAAAAGGATGATATAAGAACATGGCCCCAGCACAATGCTGGTTCAGGTTCTCAACACTGGTAAGGCCACCCTTTAGACCTGAGCTGCTGGAACAGGGCAAGTGTGGGGAACCTAAGTGTTAATTAGCACCTATTAGGTACCAGGCATAATCACATTTACTCCTCACAATTTTGTGTGGCAGATGTAAGCCTTACTTCACAAGTAAGGGAAACAGGGCTCAAAAGGGTAACTTATCTACTGCCACAGTTTGAGCTGCACTGAATCCAGTGTCAGGCAGACTTCTGTGTCAGCACTCCATCTTGTCAAATTAAACAAAGTAATAAACAAAAAAATAGTGGAGGTAAGGAAGAAAGAAAATATTGGTTGTATCTGAAATTGCTGAGAAGTCAGAGAACTACAAAATGGAGGAGAGGGATCTCTATCATGAGGATGCATCACAGTCCATAGTGATATGACATGACTTCTTAACGGTGGTGATTTAGCTTCCCGGTGAGGATACTTTAGATGAAACTGATCTAGCAAATCTCATGGGATTTCCTCTTATTCTATTAACACAAAAAATATTGCTAAGTCATTAGATTAAAAGAAAAAAAGACGAATTGGTTGAAATAAATTTTTAAAAATCTCTTCCTGTAATATGCTTGGAAAATGAATCCAAAGACATATTCTTAGATGATCTAATGAAACACAAAGTCAAATACAGAAATCAGACGAAATAGAGATGATAAATTCCAATGAGCTTTAAGAGACAAAGGAGAAAAAAAGAAAAGAAAGGCAGAAAGTAAAATTGCAGAAATGGAAGATTTTATTGAAAGAAAAACAGACATAATTATGGATCAGGAAACAATCACCAAGCTCACAACTGAATAAACAATTAAAAAAAGAACGAGCCATCCCTTTTCTGAAATCTAATAAGGGCCTAAATTAATACAATTAAAAAATAATCATGAAGAAAGAACGTCAGCCCACCCTCTTCCTTCCTCTGGAGACTACGGGACCCAGCATGTCTTGGGTCTTTAACAAGCACACCCTCATTTTACACCACACATTCTCAACAGGGATAATACTGCCCCCAAAGGGTTGAAAACAGGTTCTTCTGGGGTAAAAAGAATCCTACTCTTTTTAGGCAGAGAGCAAAGCTATGACCCATCAACAGTGTATTTGTGGTATTAAATTGCGGGAATGAGTAACTGAGAATATATGTCTACAATGACTCCTTAAGAATATAGGTCTAACACAGGAAATACAGCCTTACAGAAATTCTGATTTGACTTTGCACCAGAAATGTAATACAGAATTCTAAAATACCTTCTCAAACTCACATGGGTTTCCAAACTAAAGGAGTCAAAAGTGAAAAATACAAACCCTCGGTGGCTCTTGACAGGGTAAGTGGGTAAGTAAAAGGAAGACATTTTATAATGCCCGGAAGAAAAAGCAAAAAACAGAAAAGAATTTTTCCAGGAGTTTAACCATCTGGGGTGTCCTGGCACTAAAAAGTAAATTACCCCTGGGAAAGGCAGGCTTGAGGAGGTACAGAACTCACTCGCCTCCACGACCCACCCCCTTCCCGGCCCCCAGACCGTAGAGGTCTGGGCATCTTGCTCAGAACCCAGGGCACTGGAAGAAAGCCGCACTCTCTTTACTGGAAGATCGAAGCAAAACATGTGAGCCCACGAACTGCAGATGGCTTTCAGGTGGTTCCTGAAAAAAACAACTTCTAGCATGTGCTCTGCACCCCTCCCTGACACCAACGTTTCTGAGAGGTGACAGCAATAATTCCCTGCGCTTCTCAGACCCCAGGCATGACCTAATTAACTTTCTAGTACCGTAGCAGTACCTCTGCCTCTCAAAAAGATGCTGACTTCTAAGGTTCTAGATGCACAAGAAAGAGAACCAGGGAACTGGCGTGAAGGCGCTCGTTCCTTTCCTTTGGCCTAGCTGGCCGAGGTGAGAGTCGGCCTGCATGCACACTCCCACACCTGCCCCGGGAGGCGGAGGCCCAGGCTGGGCGCCACCGTCAGAAGAACTCAAACCAGCAGCGCGGGAGGCTGTCTCGGAAGAAAAAGGAGTAGGTGTGACAGAGGCTGCCCGCTTGCTGGTGGTGGATCAGGGACCACAGGCGGTCGCCGAGGAGGGCCGAGAGGGGCCGAGGCCCCCGGGGATCACCTTCCAGAGGCTTCACGATCTGGAGTTTCTCGGGCAGGTAGGAGCGGCTGCTGAAGGACATGCCCGAGAAGCCGGTGAACTCGGAGAAGCGCGAGTGGGTGCCGAGGGACATGATGCTCTCCGTGGGCGTGAGGGAGCCGCTGAGCAGCTCGCCCTTCTCCGCCAGCTCCCTGAGCTTCCGCTCCTGCTCCTCCTCGAAGAACCTCCGCTCCGACAGGTAGTTCTCCCGGCGGAGGGACAGCCGCCGCAGCGCCGTCTCCAGGTCGTGGGAGCCCGGGGTGCCCGGCGTCCCGGGCTTCTTGCTCCGCTCGGCGTTCCTGCGAGGAGGGAGACGGGGCTGAGCGTGGCGCACCCCGCAGCGGGCGCAGTGCAGGGTGCACGGTGCGAGGGAAGCCTTACTGCTAGGTGGCCATGGGTGGACATGTTTCCTGGTGGCCGCAGGATTTTTGCTAGGGAAGCCAACAAGGCAAGCAGTGGAAATTTAGGCAAAAATGGGGAGATAAATGCCTGCCGGGGAGAACTAGTTCCTCTGGTGGGTGTTTTGCCGGGTAGCGGGGAGAGCACTAAGGTGCTAAGAAAATTGGCACATACTATGTAAAAAATTCCGTCCCTAGCAACATCTCCCTCCTGAGCCCTCAGGAAGACGACTTCTTCAGGCTGCAGGTCGTAGTTACCAGAAGGGCCACTGGTTCAAGAGGCATTTATTTCTCTTTCCTCTTGAATTGAAAGAGCTGTTCTGATCAAGCTGTTTCCCCTCTGACCCAGTCCGTCAGAAGAACCAATTTCATTGTCACAGAAAAAAGCTGTACAACACAGCTGATGTCGTGTGTGTGTGTGTATGCATGTGTGGAGGGCTTCAGGACAAAGAGGGACTGCCCCCCCCCCCCGGCTGAGGAGGCCCCACCCCAAGGACAGGAGGTGTGATGTGCACCTGCAGGGGGCCCTGCACCCCACCTTTGGCAGCAAACTAGATTCTGGTCACAAGACAGAGCCTGAGCCCTCCTCAGCCTTTCAAACACCCAAGCTACAGAGGGGTCCCTGAAACGAATGTCTATTCTGTAGCCCAACAGTGAAGATTAATCACAGAAAAGATACTCATTCATCCTCCCCTTCAGCATTTGACAGAAAAGCAGACTTCCTATCAGACCTCCTTACACTGGTGAAAACAGCAGAATCAAGAATGAGTGTCAACTCAGAGGGCTAGCAAAACAGATGACAGACCGAAAGGTCTATGCTTTTCAGGCGATTCTTTGTCAGCCCCCCTCTTCTGATGTCCGAACCTATCCTCGATCCACACTACGGGTCTCCCAAACCCAAAGATTACAAACTCCCAGCTGGCTCACCCCAGGTCAGCTGACTCTGCTTCCAGGATGATGCTGTTGGTCTTGTTGTCCAGGACGACACTGCCAACGTCACTGCCATAGAAGCTGGACCGGGGGGTGCTGACGCAGCTGGACAGGAGGGAGTTCACGGCTGAGGACTGGTTGGAGCCGGGGATGTTCATGGGGGACGGGGTCAGAGACCTCTGCTTGACGACCTGGTTGATGTTTCTCACCGTCTCAAAGACTCGCTTCTGGTGACTGGGGGGAGGAGGGGAGGGAATGCACAACATCCATGAATAAACAAATGCAGGAATGACCGTGGAGTTCAGCCCTCCAGAAACTACCATCCAAGAAGCCAAAAGGCTACTGGCCCATGTGAGCCCCCAGGCAACCTGCCATCCCCTGCCTTCAATGTGCTGGCTGAAACTCAAGAGACTCAATGCCCACTGAATTCCGGGCCCTAATTCGTGGTTGTGTCCTACAGGCGAAGCTAGCAAGATGATACTGCTTTTCTCTCCCTTAGGCTTGACCCACAAATACAGATACTTAAGTAGGGCTTTTGTCTCCTGGCTACTTTTCCTCTTTCATGATGGTCACTAGAATGCAAAGTCCAAGAGGGCAGTGTTCACTGCTCAGCACATAACAGGGCTCCATAAATATCTGTAGAATGAGTATTTGTTGACTGTTCATATATATATATATAAAAAAGCAAGACAAAGTCCTACACTTCTGTAATGAGATGATAAATACCACAGGAATCTTTTTTAAAAATTGCTATTTCTAAGAGTGGAACTTCCCTTTGATTCTCTTTTTTATTTTTTTTTTTTTTTTTTTTTTAAGAGGAAGAGAGACAGAGAGCGAGGGAGCGCACATGAGCAGAGGCAGAGGGAGAATTCTCGGAGAGAAAGAGAGAGAATCCCGAGCAGGCTCCGTGCCCAGTGCAGAGCCCAACACGGGGCTCGATCTCACGACCCTGAGATCATGACCTGAGCTGAAATCAAGAGTCGGACGCTTAACCAACTGAGCCTCCAAGGCATCCCCTCATTTGTTCCTTTTTCAGGAGACAAAGGTAGGCACGTTGCTGTAACAGCCATGTCCTTCTGGGATGCATAGGGCTTCACACACGCACTGAGGCTCGGGGACTCTGGTCACTCCCAGGATCCCATTTCAGTTCTGGCTGTGGGCTTTGGGTACAAAAAATACACAATGAAATTGGATCCACACGTTCCTTAGAAACAACTCGGGGCAGGCCTAGCGCAAGGTCTCATGTTAGGAAGAGAGTTGGTAGAGGCCAATATCCATAAACGTATCCAGAAAGGAAGCAGAAGCCTTGCATGCACCCCTCAAAGAGCCCTCTGTATCTCCTACTGCATCCTATTTTGCTTTTTCTAACAGACAGTAAACATTTTTTAAGTCCTGTTTTTCACTGAAAGGAAAGATAAAACCAAGTGGTGGTATCAAGACAGGGCCTGTATTAACAGAGATGGGAAACAGCTCTCCTTACTCAACTTCCTGTAAGTTAATAATATAGCTTTAAAACTCAGGAAGAGGACCTGGGGGATATTATTGGCTGTGTGCTCTTATCTCCCTTAATCTGGACCCAAATCTGTGGAAGGACCACCATGATCACTGTTGGTGTCTGAACCCCAAACGCTGCTAGTTTTGATGACCACAGGGCATGAGCAGTCTCTGGGAAGCTTAGAACCAGGCCGTACGCGATATCTGGAGACTCAGGTTCTTCCAACTGCAGCTCCTTGCGCATCGTTCCCTCAATCTCCGCTGCCAAGGAGTCCTGAGAAAAGCCAGAAAACACACTGAGTGAGCAGCAACTCAAGTCTCTAGAAGAGCCTCATGGCTGGCTAGCCATAGGAGCATCAACTGAGGTCTCAGAGCCTGCAAACCACCCATGCCACTAGGCTTCCAGCATTCATCACCGGGGGAACCCGACTGAGCAATCCCCATGGCGGGTTCTCAATGGAGCAATCCCCAGTGGGCACTGAGTGTACAGCCCCTATACTCCCCTGCAGCTGAGGGACTGAGAGCAAACCCCATGTTCCCTTGGCCACACCACAGAGCTGTGACTCTGCCCACAGGAGAGGCGGGGAATTTGTGGAGGAGGGGACCCGAGTTGTGAGCACTGTCATCTGAGCCTCTGCTCTGGTGCCGCCCGCTTCCCCTGCAAGGAGATCTCCTCTCCCCACCAACGACCCATCACCTGCCCACCTTTAACGACCAGCTCATACCTCGTTTCCACTATTAATCCTTCATTCCTCCCCGAAGAAAGACACCAAACACATGAAGTCCCTGCGAGTTCCCTGAACAGTTAGTTCACTTAGATCTTTCTCTAGCTAGGTTGTGGATTTTGTGGGCCAGGGCAAGGCTGGTCACGGATGACTTCTCCCTTCCCGGATGGCCAGGCCCCCAGCTGAGACTCACCGATACAGACTCCCTGATGAGCACCCCCTCCTCCCCAAATGACCCACCACTCCTCACCCTCTGAGGTAGAGCCTAACAAGCAATCCCACACACTGGCACAGGTTGGTGCCAACAGGAGGACCAGGTGTGTGCAGAAAAGCACCTGCTGGGGCCTCAGAGGACGACACCACCTACGACAGCCTGAAGGGAAGGGCTTACTGTGCTAACTGAAGACTCCCTGCGATGATCGGGAATGTTCTTTCTGCACTGTCCACTGTGGGAGCCACAGGCCGCAGGTGGCTACTGGGCACCCGAAACATGGCCAGTATGACTGAGAACCTGAATTCGCTGTACTAATTTTAACAGATTTAAATTCACATAGCCACTTGTGGCCACTGGATTCCCAGCAGACAGAGCATGGGAACTCCAGAGCGCCCACCTCCAGAGCGCCCACCTCCACAGCCCCACAGTCAGGGAGCGACGCTCCAGGCTAGAAGCTGGAACCAAGTGGGGAGACTTGACAGGAGGTAGCAAGAAGCTGGGTCCATAAAGGGGCTAATGGGCTTGTTTTCAACTATTATTTATAAATATGCAATTTTATTTAGTAATTATTATGTACAGATTGTCATTCAACATAAGCCACGTTGTAAAGGGCTTCCCTGAGTGAGCTTTTTTAGTCAGTTTACTTTTCTTCCTTTTTTTTTAAAGATTTTATTTATTTATTTGAGCAAGAGAGAGAGAAACTGAGATAGCGAGAGAGCACAAGGAGGGGGAGGGGCAGAGGGAGAAGCAGGCTCCCTGCTGAGCAGGGAGTCTGATGCAGGGATCGATCCCAGGACCCTGGGATCATGACCTGAGCCGAAGGCAGACACTTAACCGACTGAGCCACCCTGGCGCCCCACCCCTTTACTTCTTACTACTGTAATTCACCATATAGTTTACATTCAGAGTTCTGCACGAGGAAAGGACCTTCATACAACTTAAGAGAGACGACATACCAGACTACTAACTTCAAGGCTGTGCCTGGAGGAGAGAGCAAGCTGGCTCTGTGACTTTTTCTTGGCCCTTAGCCCCCTAGCAGTCTGGGGAAGCCATGGACCCCTTCTCAGAAGAGTATCTTTAAGTGAACAAAATAATTAGGACAAAAAGGAAGCCTGATATATTGAACTAGTCACTAGACTATTAATAACAACAATCGTGGTACAGTAACACACAGGATCTGGCTTCAGTCCTGGTAATGACTGCCACCTTGAAGCGGGGCTTAGCACAAACAGGATTTGGAGACATCTTACAACGGAGAGCAGATGTGATCTCAACTGGTGACCAAGTCACCGGGGTGCTAATATCACTGTGGCTTGTTGCCCACCTTCATATGAGCAGGAAGCACTGTATACAATTAGGGACTAAGATAAAAGACGTGACCCTCCCTCAAGTTCACGGGCCCGAGTCCTGTCTGGGGATCCCCGATTAGGAGCTCCTGCCACAGGCAAGAGAGCTGGCAACGTACTCCTCGGGCAGAAACTGCTACCCACCGTTTGACTCAGATTGGGGCGTTCTGCTCCAGAAACACAGGCACAGCACCACTCAGTGCCGCAAATACCTTTAATACATCATGCACTTTAAAAATAGCCACCTTTAAAAAGTGAGCCGTACCAACAGCTACAGGAAAAGGCAAGCAAAAGCTCCATTTCAGCAAATACAATAGCTGAGAATCTCTGAAGACGCCCAAATGCCAATTTTCAGTTTGACTTTTCTATGTCATGGCTTTGTTTTAAAACAGGTCTGTTTCTGAGCGTGGGGAATGCAGTGGAGTGCATCCTAAGTGCACGGGAGATAAGGTGCCCCCAGGAGGCCACTGCGCCAAGGTGGGAAGCCAGGAAGGAGGGAAATTGAGGCAGGGAGCATATATCACTACATAGGCCAGTCTGTGAGCTGAGTGTCACCGGCTCTCGATGGAGGAATCGGGGGCACCGAATGTTCTTTGCTGCCTTTACTTGGATTCCTGGACACACTGGATCACCAATCTGCTCCCTGGAAAGCTAAGTTTATGTATCTTTCGTTTTGGTTTCATTAGGTTTCAATCAAGCTGAGAGAGAGAGAAAGAGAGAGAGAGAGAGAGTTCTAGCCTGATTTTTATATATAAAATGAGATTGTGAGTTAGGAAAAGTGGGCCAGACAGTGTAAAGGGAAAGAGCCCCAAGTAAAGGCCAAATTCCAAAGGACTGAGTGTCACAAACATTGTAGCCGCCATCCACTTGTATCTCATTGGGAGTGTTTCTCTCCAAAGTTCTTGTCTCCTCAAAGAGAATTTGGTATTTCATCAAACCACGGAAACAGAGCCTGAATATAAAAGTTCTTGGTCATTTGTTCTTCGGTCTGTCTGTCCACCCATCCAAATCTAGTACCTACTAAGCATGTACAATTGTAAAACATAACAAGCACTGAGCAGATAGAAGAGAATTACAGAGGGAAGGAAGAAAGGAGCAAATAAGACACGGCCCCCCCCTTCGAGGGGCTTTAGTCTGACAGAAGAAGGTACACTGAGGAAGCTCACCAAACGTCTCGGGGAAAAGACCAGCAGAGGAGGCCTGCCCTGTGCTGCCGAACCCCAGCAGGGAGGGGCTAACCTGGAAAATCCCCTTCTCAACCACGTCTCCTTAAAGCCCAAGCATGAAACAGATCAGGCCTTCAGAGCTATGAAGTAAGATTGCGGGGAAATCATTTTGTAGAAATGGAAATGCCACTCCAGCTAGAGAGGGAGATTTTTTCAGATCACAGACACTGAAAGCCCCCAAGAGGATGATCAGTAAGCCTAGAAAGAACCAGCAGAACTGTATGGGCAACTTAAGAATTCTAGAATGCACAGTGAGGCCAAAATAGCCCATACTCTAATAAGGTTAGAAAAATAACAATGTGTGAATAACATCTCCCAAATATCTGAGGTTCTTACGAAATATACCAATTAAGGACATGAGGAGAAAAAAAGGACTGAGTCAGAGGAATGGCAAAGGAAGAGTCAGTCGGCCACATGTTGTCAAGGGGCCAGGAGCTGGGCACGTGAGCCCCTGACACAGATCTAGAGCTAAGCTGCAGGACAAGAAGCCCATCCACCAAGTCTCGGCGCCAGACCCCGCCTCCCTGCCAGGGGCCCCCCTTGCGGCCGGCCGGGCGGGTGGGGAGCAGGGGCACAGAGCAGTTGGGTGCTCACCATGGGGAACAGGCCGAGCGAGTGGTAGCGCCGTGATGCAGTATTGGGCATGGTCTTGTTCCGGAGGTTCTTGAGCTCCTCCTGCGCCTCGTGAAGCATCTCCATGCACTCTGCGTACTTGTCCTCCAGCTCTCGCAGCTGCACACACCAGAAAGTGACGCACGGTCAGGGGGGTGTGGGGGGGGGACGGGGACTGCCCTGTGCCTCCAGGCCCGACACCAAAGGGCCCTCGAGGCTCAGTTCGGCTTCCACTCGGTGCGTGCTTCTAGCCTCAGAAACCTCCCAAGTTCTAACATGCAACCGAGATCCCAGGCTTCCAGTTACAGGATGCCTAAGTCACGGGGGTGAACGGCACAGCGCGGGGAATCGAGTCAGCGGTACGGAAACGGGGTTGTGTGGTGAGAGATGGGGCGACAGTGTGGTGAGCACAGCATGATGTACAGAGATGTCCAATCACTATGTTGTACCCCTAACACTCATGGAACCTCGTGCCAATGATATTCAAATAAAAAAGTATTTAAAAAAAAAAAGCCAACTTTCCACGAATGGGAGAGCAAATTGTCACCCTCGTTTCTAGCCACATCTCTGAGTGGGCTCTTTCCGCGGTGAGCTCCGTGCCATTGCCTTCATGGGACATTTAGCAGGAGCGGGCTGTGCAGGGCCCAGCCCCCCGGGCGCTCACCAGCTGCGACAGCATCAGCGGGAATTTACCAGTAAGAATGGCTTTCGATTCAGAATAAAAGCAGCTAGTGAGGTGGACACGACCCGCGGCCCGTCAGAGGGAGGCTGGTCACCCTAAGTGGGATGGGCCTGGGGAAAGGGGGGAGAGCCGCTCACCTCGGCCGTGAGCTGCCGCTGGGCATCCTTAGCAGCCCCCAGGTGCTGGACCAGCTCTTCATTTTCCACCGCGCACTGCAACAGGGCAAAGGCCCATCAGCTTCTCCTTTAAGATACCTGGAAACGTCTAACCGGTTTCCTCTTATTACCTGATCTGTTCCAATCCTGTCACATTTCTACAGTGAGACTTTTAAGCCAGAGTAACATTTCGCCTTTTCTGTAATTTTGAAGGCAGCCTTTCCTACATCCGTGTTCATTCTGTATGGCTGACCCTACGCCCGCCTCCGTAGGCACAGCCCCTCCCAAGACGCGCTTCACCTCGCACTGCAAGCAAAGGCCTGACGTGGGAAACTAAACTGTATTTGTTTTGTTGTTGTTGTTGTTGTTGTTGTCTTGCAGCTGCTTCATTTCAAATCTAAAGGAGATATTATTCTGCTATAGGAACACCAGGTGCTCTGTGTAAAAACAAGTCCTAGACTAGAAAATTCACAAGTGAAATTCCAGAACTCCATCTCTGCGGCACCTTTCTTAACAAATTCTATTAATGTGCGGATTATTTTTAGGAGGTAAGTGGTTATATGATGCCCTCCCCAGTTCAGGGCGACTAGCTTTATTCTATCGAATTTGCTAATAAGCCTTCTCCCCAAAGGGGCAGCACAAACTCCTAAACTATGAAACCAAAGGACATGGTCTTCGGGGGCAAATGCCATCTGCAGCATCCAGAGAAACAGAAGCCTTACAGCTTTTGCCTTCTTCTGCAAGTCAACTATCTGCGACAGCAGGTGTGTGATCTCCTCTTGCTGGCGGGCAGCATCCTCGGTCTTCTTAGCCAGCTCCTCTGAGATACTGGCGATCTGCACGTTGGCATCCCCTTTAACCAAGAAATGACAACAAGAGGAAGTCTGACCCAGAGAGAATGGTTTCTTTGTGGTGTGCACAAGCAAAAGCATCTTTGTTACCAGACAGGGGGACGAGTGGAGGGGGCAGTGAAGAAGGAACGGTGCCCATTTTCCCATATGGGCTCAGTCTATCATGAGGAGGAGGTGTGGGGCCTGGTGTAGGGACCCAACCCCGCTGACCAAAGCTGCCTCCCTCCCCAGAGGAAGTCAGGAAGGCTTTGGGGGTCAGCTGGGAAATGCCACACCACACAAAGGTGCATCTGCCCGAATCCCCACATTCATGCATGAACGGATCCACATCATTAACAGGAACCCCTGCTGCACCCTGTTCTAGAAGGAACTGTGCCCGCACAATATAATTCCTTTGGATGTTTCCAACCCATATTCAGAGTCATAACTCATTTTACTATACTGGAACACAGGGTGTGTTTCACTTATTGAGCGTTTTGCTGAAATTCAAAATACTGTTTGCCCTTTCGTCTTGTAAACTTACAATGGAGAGGGTGGGGAAAGTACTTGTTTGCAAAGCGGAGAACTCTGGCCTCACCTTGCACACATCCATTATGAGAAACCATAATTGATTAGTGTTTGCATATCGACAGGGGAACTCTGTAACTGGGCTTAGCTTAGACTTCACATAACTCCAGTAATACAGTAGAAAGCTGGAATCAAAATTAAATATCCGTCTCAGTGAGAAATTAGTGTATGGCTGACAACCTAGCACCCAATTTCTCATGCATCAGAGTGAGGGGTGCCCCACAAGATCGGGGGGTGGGGGTGGGTGTCTCATCACAATGATGGCAGCTGCAGAAAGTAAAAAGAGGGGGTAGGGATGGAGCAAGAGAACCAGGCCATACTCAGCTCCTTCACGCAGTCGTTGACCAGTTGCTGTTCCTTCTCTTCGTAGGTGATGGTCTCCGTCTTCAGCTGGCAGGCCTGTGGACAAGGCTCAGGTCAGAGGCCCCACATTCACACCTGGACCGGTGGGGTGGGCAAGGCTGGGGCACGGAGCAAGGACTAATCCAGGTCTGGGAAGCTGCCCTTCACCCTCTCCCCACCTGCCATCCAGGACACCCTCCAATACAGAAAGTCCATCAGAATGCCCTGCTTAGTTAAGGAATCTCAGATCCTCAAAGCTGAAGAGCTGAAAAAGGCGTACCACCAGAGGGCGCTACATAAAGAGATATGCACTCTACAAAGCGCCACCCCTGGTGTCTATTCATTTGCATCTGTCCCGGCTCATAGACAGGGACCCCTTTGGACCCGAACAGTGTCTAGGACTCAGCTCTGCCTACCATTTAAGGATGACCAAAAGAATGGCTACCACTTATCATGTACCTGCTTTATGCAAGGCACTGTCCTATGAGATCTAAGTTGGGAGTTCTACTGTATTCAGCTTAGTAAAAACAAGGTATGATACAAAAGCATTAAAATTCAGAGACCCAAGAGCTATCCCAGGACTCTGGATAGCCATGCTCCCAGCTGACAAGGTGAGAAAATAGAGATCCAAAGGTCTGAAGAAACTATCCCAGGTGGAGAGCAGGTATCTCTGAGCCCTCGGGCCCTGGCCCCAGGGAGAGACAACACTCCCGAAAACTGAGGTGGAATTTGTAGCTGGGATCAGATTCCCTCCACCTGCTTTAGGTGAACACTCTGACAGAGGGACGAATTATTGCACACCCAGGACTGGAGCATTTACCTGGGGCAGGCACTGGGATGGAAAGCTCTGGGAAGTAGTCTTGGCTTGGCCACTGGCTGGCACAGAAAGCTTGCACAACCCTCTTGGTCGCTCTGGGTTTGTGTTTCCCACTAGTTAATGAGGACTAGAAGATAAGCCCAGACATGAGGCTCTTTCCAATGTGTGGGCAAGTTCAAGGTGGTCTGCCATATTGTAGGGGTTTCAGGGAACCCTGGGCCAACTCAGGTGGGCATGCAGCCCAAACTTGACAAAGCATACCTCTGGCTGGAGAGCATAAACTCACTGATAATTAAGACAAAAAGTACTAAACTTGCATGCCTCAGTGTTTCCAGATAGGGGCCGTGGGTGAAGGGAAGTAATGGGTTCAGAGTCAGAGAGCCTTGCAAATCCCACCTTTGTCATTCCCTAACTTGTGCCACGTTGGCAAATCAAACACCTAGGAGCCTGGGTCCCAGCTTTCTCACTGTAAATGAGAAGCAAAGTAACCAGCTTCCAGTCTTGCTGTGAAATTTGAAAAAAACTGAAAAACAAAAACACAACACAGGCCAAGTGCCTGGCACAGCGACTAACTAGTCAGGAAGCCTCAAGAGCTGAGAGAGCCCTGCCCTAACTGAAGGAGGAGAGGCTCGCCACTCTTGCCCAGCCACATGGAGAATCCCTGAGTCCTCGGCGCCCCGGATGGGTACGTGCTCCCCGCAAGCCAATGCCCAGCTCACAGAGGAGGCACACTGGCTGGGCCCCGGGTGCCGCTATGAGCGGAGCTCAGGTGGCTCTCCCACAGACGGTCACCCTTGAGAACAGCGCTGTAAGCACGGGTCCTCCTGCCAGATAAGGCAAAGGGGCCACCACCCTCCAGATGGAACAAGGGCAGGGAGTGCACTTGACCTCCGATCGAAGTACGACGTTCTCCTCTTCGAGGTCTTTCAGCTTTTTCTGAAGAGAATCCAGATGGAAGTAATTCTGGACGGAGGAGGATGACTCATTCCTCTTCAACCTGGGGGAGAAAGTGCAATCTCGCTCCAGGGAAACAGCACCTGCCGGCACACAGGCTCGCCAGCACTCAGGACCCCCATCCCAACCCTCTGGCCACCGTGTACAGCCACATGGCCTCACAACTCAGCAGAATCAACTATTCGAAGCCGACGCACAATTCCAGATGCCTAAAAGTCCACTTCATATTTACAGTGCAATTCTATGTGCCTAGATAAGTACTCTACAGGTATGAAGTCAATTAATGCTCATACCCCCCAACTAAGTACTGTTGGTATTCCCATTTTACAAATGAGGAAACAGGCACAGAACGGTTAAGTAACTTGGCCAAGAGCACACAGCTAGGAAACCACAGAGCCAAGGTCTGAACTGAGACCACTGGGCTCTAAAGTTCATGCTCCTAATGTGAGGCTCTGCTGACTCTCCGAGAAGTCCCAAGGGCCCACAGTGACACCTCTGGCTCCAGAACCCGGTACTATCCTCTAACTGTGGGGCCCACCCTGTTACCCGTGACCAGGCCGGATCGATCTAAATTGATGACTAACCCTGTCCCCTTCCACATCCTGCTAAAATCATCCATGCAATTTGTTGGAGGCACGTGGAGATGCTTGGTCTGGGGAAGGCTGGGAGCAGCAGACCTGAGCTGCTGGGGAAGCGACCCTGCCAAGGCACCTCCAAGGACATGGACGACAGCCAGCCGCCTGTGCCCCGGCCCCAGAGCCACGGCCATCTGGCGACTTACGGGGTGGAGCACACAGACTCGGGTTCGCTCTCCTCCGCGGCGCTGGTGTAGAACTGAAGCAGCTCATCCTTCATGGACAGCTCATGCCGGAGTTGAGACACCTGCACAGACACAGCCGGGGGTGGGGGGGGGAGGAGGGGACCGGCATTCAGCCCCAAGCATGGACAATGCCCCTGTCACGTTCAAACACTTGCTGCTGGTGACAACGTTTGTTTAATTCCTCACCCAAAGTGAAGGCATGTCATTGATTTTGTGCTTTTCAAGAAGAGGTTGCATTTGATCCCACTAAAGAAAAATAGTCAACTGTGTTTTGACAGAAAACCCTCTGCCTAAATTTATGGTTCTTACTTTGGTTCAGAGAAGAGGTAAGAGGAGACTAGAAGGCTCTAGAATGATGTTTGCGGGGCGGGCGGGGAGGGGAACAGATGACGACAAGACAGCATATGGTCTTTGCAAATAGCCAGATGACCAGCTAGGCAAATGGCCAGAGAAAAAGACCCTGTTACCAAATGAAAGAAGAGGCCATTCACTTCTGCCGAAACCAAATGCCACCCTGGACTGGGCCCCTGGCGACGCCAGCCCTGGGTGGGCAGCTACAAGCAGCTTGTCCACCCTTGCTGTCACACTTGGCACACTCCCAGCCCCACCCTGTGACTGCTTCACCCTCACAGGGCTCGCCGCCAAGCCTGGCCAGACCTTGCTCTGTACTCAGTGACCACAAGATAGCAATTTCAGACACAGGGACAAAGGAGGCAGCCATCAGGAAGTGGCCATACTGATTACCAGGACAGTTTTTGCAAGTCGCCCTGATTTATACTTAACATCTTAGGCAAACAAACCTGAGCCATAAAATTTTTCACTTCCCTTTCACCACTCACTACTGATGAGCAGGGAGCCTGTGCTGCAAGCGAGAATTACAATTTAGTTTTCATTCTTTCTTGTTTCTAATTTGATTTGGGGTCTATGGTTTATTCCAGCTTTCCTACACAACAGAGTGGGTATTTATGACTTCCGGGGAGAAGCAAATTCTAAGCGCACAAAAGTTTAGTTTCAACATCTAGACTGACAATTTAATGACGTGCCAAAGGGGAACATATTACAGCTTCCAAATTCAGAGCTTTTCCAAGGAAAAAGAGGCATTTCCACTTCCAAAGAGGTGGGTGCTGTTTGTGTGAGGTGAGGGAGCCCCAGGCAAGGGCATGAAGAGGAGCAGCACATGAGGGACAGTGGGTGACCATTTACTGGTTCCTGGGTGGCATGGTCCTCTGCTCTCTAATGCCCAAGAGAAGGAGATGTCAGGTCATGATGCTGGGTGCCGGGAAAGCAGGCGGCGACTTGACTTCTCCAAAACACGACCACATTCTACCATATCATCTTTCAAAGGAAGCTGCCCAGGATGAAAACTTTTCTTAGATATTGGCAATTCTGTTTCATCAATATTAAAACAATCACTGAACCCAGGCAACAATAGCTGGGAACAGCTTCAATGAGGAAGAGGTCTGAATACAACTAAGAGACGTGAGTCAGGGCATCCCCTCCCACTTAGAAGGTTTCTTGTAGAAAATAAGGGAAACCAGGAGAAGAAGGTCAAGTGAAAGTCCTCACAGCTAAATTCGCAGTTAAAAGAACAGGATGATGGGAAAGAAGCTACAAAGCAGGGCCCGGCTCTAACTCCTAGGTCTTGTTCCAGCCACCCCGTCCAACTCTGCAGAGCCTTCCTTGTCCTGCCCACACCACAACCTTCCAGAAAACCAGTGTTGCTCCTCTGAAATCTCAGCCCCTTAAGATAAGCCTAAAGCATTCAGACCCCCACCCCTGATGCCCTTCAGCCAAGATTTGTATCATGAAAATGACAGGGTTCCTACCAGGACAACAATAGCCTATCTTCTTCGTTCTGTTTTACAAACACAACATCATATTGGAATGAAGAATGTGCCATCCGCTGCCCTGCTCGGCAGCACAGGCTGGCCTCCTCCCGACAGGGCTCCCCTCTGGCCTGCCCGTGCCCCCCTGCCCCAGGAGCCCCTGCTCTCTGCCGCCTTAGGCTGCGTGTGCTCCTGCCCCAAGCTGAGTGTCTTTCCCAGCCTACGTGAGGATCTGGACTCTGGGGGACAGCGACTGGCACTGGTCCAGCACACCGAGGCACGGTGGGGGACTGGACACTCTGGGCCTAGCGAGTAGGTGAAGGCTGTCCTCACCCACCTGGGGACGTCCACACTGTCCGAAGGAGGGTCCTAAACAGAAGCAGCCGAGGAAGGCGGCCGCCTTCTGCCTCCAGGCAGCCGCCCCGGGACAGACAGCGCTAGGGCCTGAGCCCAAACCCACTGGCCCCCGGCCACTGCCACCGGCTCACCTCCTCCCTGATGTGCTCCACCTGCTCCTCCAGCAGCTCGTTCCTCTCTGTTAGTGTCTTGTTCTTCTTCAACAATGACTGGCCAATCCGAGCAGCCAGTTCTAAATCCCGCTCTTTCTATGAAAGGCAAAAATGAGAACAGACGTTCAGAACACCTGTGCTTCCTGAAGGAGCCCAGGGCGCTCAGGGTCAACTGAGGAAAACAGGGCACTGAGAACTAACAAAGGTATTAATAACTCACCATCCACGCACCCACGTTTGATACCTGTCCAAAGAGGGGGGATGTTCAGCCCACAGAATGTGTAAAAGCTACGCAGACCTCGGGCAGTGGGAGAGAACCTCAAAAGCCAATGAAAACATGTCTCTGTTCCTACAAGAGAAACGTGCTTCCAAAAACATTTCTCCGCAGTGAAAAGCTTTTGGTGTCTGTGAAATCACTTGCCAATCTGTCCTCCTGAGGGCTGGGCTCTTGTATCCCCCAGGGCCCAGCACCTGGAAATACTCAGTAACTGCCTGCTGGGTCAGTGAATGAGCACAGAAATTCCACAGTGCTCTTGCAACAAAGCCAAGAGCTGACACGGGGAGGCAGGCTCGTTAGAGCAAACGAAGGTGGAATTTACTGAGCTACTTATATTTATTTCATATCAAACAAAAATGTTCAAGGTCACTCTAAAATCTAATAGCGTGTTTCTTTTACTTAATGGAGGGTACTTAGGTTGATTTTTTATTATTTTTTTTAGATTTATTTATTTATTTATTTGAGAGAGAGACAGAGACAGCACGAGTGGGAAGATCCAGAGGAGAGGGAGAGAGGATCTGAAGCAGACTCTGCACTGAGCACGGAGCCCAGTGCGGGGCTGGATTCCGTGACCCTGAGATCAAGACCTGAGCCGAAACCAAGAGTCGGACGCTTATTAACCTACTGAGCCACCCAGGCGCCCGTACTTAGATTTTTTTAAAAAATACCTTCGAGTGGTGCCTGGCTGGCTCAGTGGGAGGAACGTGCGACTTCTGATCTCAGGGTTTGGGATTTGAGCCCCACATTGTGTGTAGAGATTACTAAAAAAATAAACTTAAAAAAACTTAAAAAAAAAAACTTTCGAAATGGATATGATGCATAAAATTGCCTTAGTTCAGAGACAAAGACTGTGTTCAAGGACATGGAAGTTTCTGTTAGTTCAGTTGATGACATCACATATATGTAGCAAAGCAGTACACAAGGGAAGATCTTCAGTGGTATGTAAAGGTACAGCTGCTGGGGACGCCTGGGTGGCTCAGGTGGTTGGGCAGCCGAATCTTGATTTTGGCTCAGGTTACCACCTCAGGGTTGTGAGACTGAGCCCTGTGTCAGGCTCTGTGCTCAGGAGGGAGTCTGCTTGAGATTCTCTCCCTTCCCCCTGCTTCCGTGCTCTCTCTAAAATAAGTAAATCTTTAAAAATAAAAAAATAAAGGTACAGCTGCCTCTATGGGAGGAAAGATGTTCCCTGACAGTGCAGACAGCAGGAAAGACGCCATCACCAAAGGCGGACTCATTCGTGCCTGAGAGACTATTTGCCACTGTGGTTAGATCCCACTTGCTCCCTCATAAGAGGGATTAGCAAGGGGAGGGCAACTCTGGAAAACTAAATCGTTTAAGAAGCTTCTGCTAGTTATTCTGTCCAGCTGATGTAAAAAGCAGAGGAATGGGAACATGCAGCTTAGAGAAGGAAAAAAGCTGGGGAAGGGACGCCTGGGTGGCTCAGTCAGTTAAGCATCTGCCTTCAGCTCAGGTCATGATCCTGGCATCCTGGGATCGAGCCCTGCATCAGGCTCCTTGCTCAGCGGGGAGCCTGCTTCTCCCCCTCCCTCTGCCTGCCGCTCCCCCTGCTTGTGCTCTCTTTCTTTCTCTCTCCGACAAATAAACTTAAAAAAAAAAAAAAAAAGCTAGGGAGGAGTCTTAGCTTCTGACCAGCTACTAACTAACCATATGACCTTGAGCCAATGGCTTCCACTTAACAAGGATCAGGTACACTCCAGGTTAGCTTTTTCCAAACAGGTTATAAACAAACCATCAGTAGGTGGAGAATCATTTTCATAATGGCAACTGATATTTTGTTTTAAATGAAATTCAACAGCACGACATTGAAATACCAAAGTGCATTCCACATCATAAGGGTACTAGTTCATGTTTATGCTTTTGCTTGTCCTATATTTATTTATGTGAGTACCAAGTCACAGCCTGATATGCGTTTCTTACAGCAGGTATTGGTCAAAAGTTTACCTGCTCCGGGCGAGACCTTCTACTGCACAGCTGTGAGATCGGGCTCTGACTGAACATCCCTGGGACCCGGTTCCCTCCTCTGTTAGATGGGGAGGGGGGTGGTGCAGACTGGCTGAGCTACCCTTGAAAAAATCTCCTAGCATTATGATTCAGAGTTGTACAATATAAAAAAAAAAAAAAGAAGAAGAAAGGCAGTTTTTATTTCTAACTTTTTATATATCCATGAAATAATTCCGTGCACTAGCAGCACACCTTCCCCCTTGCTTATCCCAGGAGTTTCACTGAAATAGGAGCTGAGCAATGGAGGGCAAAGTACAGTTTGGGAAGACTCTGGATTTGACGGGGATTTGGCACACACTCTCTCTCTCTCTCTCTCTCTCTCGCACAAATGATGGTCACTCTCCCCTCAGTTCCCACAGTGCTGAAACCGGTCACTGCTATCACTTCTCCCCGCCAGAAGCCAGCCGGGTGTCCCATCACGGGAGCCACAAATACCTCCACCTTATTCCCACAATTTGTACCTCCTTGCATGCCTGCCAAGGCACAAAGGGGACCAGTGACTCTGCCCAATGAACCAAGATGTTTCTTCTCTGTGTACTCATCCAGGCTGGCTACGGTGTCTTCCAAGGAAGGTCCTTCGCTCAGTCACCCTTCATCACTTTGAGACTCAACATGTGTGCTTATCTGGTACGTGGGGGAAGGACCCAAAGGAACGGTGGGATGAGACCTACCTCTCCGGATCGACTCAAAATTAGCATCTTGTGCAAATGGTTTCAGCTGGCTGACACTCAATTAAAACTGCAATACCCATGTCCAATTCTCTCTGGAAGAGTGGTCTCCACAAATCTCACTCAAGCCTATTGAATCTGTCTACCAGAACAAATTCTCAGACTGAATACCCAGCAAGCGCTTAAGGCCAGAGGCTTCACTGCCTCCCTCCCGGGTCTACATTGCATGCATGCATTGTGCTAAGTTCCAACAAGCGCAGACATTCTTAATGCCTTGGCCACATTCTGGGTGCAGACTCCACGGCAAACAAATCAAGCAGAAATTACAATTATGAAAGCCCGCTGGGCAAGGCCGGCTGGAGCACCCGAAGGACGGTGAGGGCTTCCCATGGCACACAAAAGCCAGAGCCCAAGAGCAATGGGCAGGGGAAGAAAACAGATGGGCTATGCACTCAGTGAAGCCCCTCGCCCTCCCCATGATACCCCAAACCTCAGACCTGGGGCCCTCCTCACCTTCCCTGCCCCACAGCGGGGCAGCTTTCACCCCATCTCCACCTAAAATCTAATCTTTATAGTAAAACAAAACTCTCTGCTCAGGGAAAAAAAAGGGGGGGGCAAGAAGTTACAGTAACACTATTTATGGATGAAATGAAAAAATTAAACAAGTTACGTGGTGTCTAAAAGTTATCTAAGGAGGGCACCTGGCTGGCTCGACTCTTGATCTCAGGGCTGTGGGTTTGAGCCCCACGTTGGGTGTGGAGATTACTTAAAAGTTACCTAAAAATAGTTCATCTAAAAGTTACAGTAACTAAAAACTTATTGCAGTGGCTCTGGTTTTTCTTTACTAAGAGGACAGACTGGTTGCGTTTCCCCTGGAGGATTCCAGAAATGAAAACATTCGTATTTATTATGACCAGCCAACATAGGGTAAAAGTTTACTTCTAAAAACAGGAAAGCAGCTAGGAAATGACCACTGGGTTAAACTACGGTGAGAATGAGAGATTACAAATAAGTAATTCAGGCCCTTGGAAATAAACTATTTAAAAGAGCTCGTTCCCTCATTCCTCCCGAAAATGCAGCCACCTAGGTGGATGGAGCTCATTCCAATTGCTCGCTCCCTCTTCCTGCTCATGCTTTGCTTAAAAAGATTGTGCCTTGGCTCAGCCCCTTTTGCCAGGGGCGCTCGTGTGGTCTGACACAGCCCTTGGAGATGGAGAGCAGCAAGCCTCCCACACTTCGCGGCTGACTCATCTCATTCACCAGTCTCAGCATAGAAAGCATGACTAAGGGGCCCTCGGAACACCCCTTTCTAAACTGGGGCGGGGGTGGGGGGGATGGAGGAGGGGAAGGCAAGCTCTGCACAAAGGTAAATCCAAAGGCAGGAAGCCAAGGCAAGCTGTGGGATCCTCTTCCCCTTAGAGGCAGAAACAAAAGCTCCCCGCTGCCCACGGGCCGGGCCGTGCTTTGGCTTCCTGTGCACAGTCTCCCCCCACCCCTCCCCGCCCGCCAGCACCCTGACTGCGTGTGGCAGGCCTGCAAACCAAAGCAAATGATCAGAGGAAGCAGAACCAAAGCCAAACCAAGCCAAGCACAGCCCGGTAGGACTGTCACGTGACAGAGGCGGTTAGACTTTCACGGGGCGTGGCGGGGGGACCCACCTAGTTCCAAAGAAAGGCAGTGACTCAGAGGTGGTTCTTATCAGGACGAGGAAAAGAATGGCATTATAAATAAAACGCAGACGAGGAGAAGAATGGCATTATAAATAAAACGCAGATACACACAGACCACTGCCATGATGAGCTGCTAAAAACAGAACACAGAAGGCAAAACAAGGCCACTGAAAAAAGCGCCCCACAAATATTCTTTTCGCCAGAACGGGATCCGTGTGTGGCTTTGGATGCCACAGTGAGGACTTCTAAGTGTCTCTAAGTTGGGGGTGGGGAGCAAAGTGTTCACGGTGGGCTTGGGATGGGGCAGCTGCAGAGAGAAACAGAAACCTCCCTGCTGAGGCTCTGGGGGCTGGAGGAGTGGAGTGGACTTGGAATGAAAAGAATGGTCCAGATTGGAGCCCCCTCACAAGATCTGACTGATGGCTAAAGGTGTAGGGTGAGGAGTGGAGGCTGGAAATACTAGCGGATCCGGACAGCATGACACTGTTGGGGGAAATGGACACAGTGGGAAGGGGTCTGTGACAAACCATTTTCCAAAAGTCAGTGGTGCCAACCAAGCTAGCCTTCCAAGTGCCTAATGCCAGCCACCATAATGGTGGCAACTGGAGAACCACCAGAAGGCCTGTGCCCTAAAATGCCTTGCAATGACCCTGTCTCACGATCTCCCACATTATGCTACTCTTTTGCTGGAGAAGAGCTGATGAATAGTAACATGACCCAAAGTCAGCCTTGGTTCCAGAGCAGAAACGAGGGTCTAAGTTAGCAGCGGTGCCATTAAGGACTGATAACGTTTAAAGATGGGCACTTATTCAATATATATCTATAAGAACCTGCTGTGTTCTGGCCGGTTCTAGGCATGGGGGTATACATATGGTGCTCATCTGCTTGTAGAGGTCTGCACAGCACCGGGATTCTCAACTGCCAACAGAATGCTAAGAAGAGACCGAGAAAAATAGAGTCTCTAAAATACCAGCAGCTAGTCCCATTCTAAGCAAGTTCCCTAATTTCTTTTCCCCACGATGATTTTGGTTATTTTTATGCTGCATAATATCCCCTTAACCTGAGGTAAGTTCAAAAAAATTACAAAGATATAGGGGCGCCTGGGTGGCTCAGTCAGTTAAGCATCTGCCTTCGGCTCAGGTCATGATCCCAGGGTCCTGGGATCGAGCCCCGCATCGGGCTCCCTGC